TCAAGTTCTGCACCCTTCCATGCTTATACTGCTCAACAAGGCTCGTCTGGTTCTCTTTCTTTCAGAGGCAACTTCAGAGGCAAATATCAGAATCAGAATCGCAATCAATACCACAATCGTAATCGCTTTCCTCAGAATCGCAACTTTGGTGCCAATCGCCAACATAATTCCTCTGGAGGTATTCTTGGTCCTGCTCCCTCTCGTTCCTCATTTTCTGGCGCACACTCCGGTCCCATTCCTGGACCATCCCAACCTGGACAATCCATTCCTTGTCAGCTTTGTAATCAATATGGTCATTCTGCTCTCTATTGTGGCTCTCTCTCCCAATTTGCTTCTCACCGTTCCCCTCCCATGGGTTTCAATGCTCTGACTGGATCCCATCCTCCAAGCTACTGGATTACTGACAGTGGAGCGACTCATCATGTCACTCCTGATCCAGCCTCGCTAAACTCTACCACACCATACACAGGCACTAAACAACTTTTCGTGGGTGATGGCAAAGGTTTGTGTATTTCTCATACTGGAAATGCTTTAATACGCACTCCTAATGCTGTGTTCAAACTTCATGATGTGTTATTAGTTCCTCAAGCCTCTCATAATCTCCTGTCCGTTTATAAATTTGTGTATGACAACTGTTGCTCGCTGACTTTTGATCCCTTTGGATTCTACATCAAGGATCTAAGAACTGGGAGGATGCTTTTCCAGGGCCCCAGTGAAGGAGGATTGTACCCTTTCTATTGGTATGCTTCTACTGGTGTTTCTGGCATTGCTATTTCACCTCATGCTCTAATGATTGCTAAAGCTGATATCACTACATGGCACAGACGGCTTGGTCATCCTTCAAGTCTAGTTTTCAATAAAATAGTAAATAAAGGTCACTTGTCTGTTGTTGGTTCACATTCTCAGAAGTCTGTTTGTTCTGATTGTCAATTTGGGAAGGCCTCAAGATTGCCATTTTCTGTTTTACCTTGTAAATCTACTCGGCCATTTCATCTTGTTCATGCTGATGTATGGGGTTCTTCCCCTACCTCTTCTTGTACTGGATATCGCTATTATCTAATACTAGTTGATGATTTCACTAAATATAGCTGGCTCTATCCACTGCATTATAAATCCGATGTGTGTTCTGTTCTTCAGACTTTTGTTCTCAAAGTTCAAACTCTTTTCGACAGCAAAGTTCAACATTTGCGATCTGATTCAGGGGGTGAGTTCTTAAGTGCTACTTTGCAAAGCTTCTTTAATCTTCAAGGCATAACTCATCAATTGAGTTGTCCTCACACTCCTGAGCAGAATGGATGTGCGGAACGCAAACATAGACATGTGGTTGAAATGGGTCGAACTTTATTATCTCACAGTGGCTTACCTTCTCAGTACTGGATTGAGGCTTTTCAAACTGCAGTATATCTCATCAATCGCCTTCCTCCTCAGGCTTTTTCTATCAGTCCTTGGGAATTACTCTTCAAAGCTCCACCTCAATATCATCTCTTGAAGACTTTTGGGTGTGCATGCTATCCCTGGCTCCAACCTTACTCATCCAGTAAGTTAGATCCAAAGAGTAAACTTTGTGTGTTCTTGGGATACAGCTTAAATCACAGCGGTTACCGTTGTCTTGATCCGGTTACTAACAGGTTATACATTTCGAGACATGTGGTGTTTGATGAAACTCTTTTCCCTTTCAAGCACTCTCTCACTTTACCTTCTCCTACTGTATCCTCTCCTTCTATTTCTTCTCCTTCATTATCTCACCCTATTTCTCTTACTATACCTATTCATCCTCCTCCAACCCCTCCTGCCATTCTACAAAATCCCTCATCTTCACCCTCCTCCTCATCAGTACCCCTCCCTCCTCCCTCTTCTTCTTCTCCTGTCCCCCCTCCTACAACTATCCCAACCAACCACCATCCTATGATTACCCGAGCCAAAGCCGGTATTTCTAAGCCTAAGATCTTTACAGCCACTAAGCATCATCTCTCCCCTTCCGTTGATCCACTCACCATCATTCCTCCGACCCCTACCACTTATCTTCAAGCCTCCAAGCATCCTGCTTGGGTAAAAGCCATGACAGATGAATATCAAGCACTTCAATCCACTGGTACTTGGGAATTAGTATCTTCTCATCCAAGTTACAATTTAGTTGGGTGTAAATGGGTATTCAAAATTAAGCACAAAGCTGATGGTTCAATAGAACGATACAAGGCTCGGTTGGTAGCTAAAGGGTTTCATCAACAAGAAGGCCTCGATTTTTCTGAAACTTTTAGCCCTGTAGCAAAGCCGACCACCATCAGAATACTTTTGTCTCTTGCTGTGAGCTATGATTGGTTTGTACATCAGTTAGATGTCAGTAATGCTTTTCTGCATGGCTATCTCAAAGAAGATGTGTATATGGTTCAACCTCCTGGTTTTGTGGATCAGTCTAAGCCTCACCATGTTTGTAAACTCAAACAGTCTCTCTATGGACTCAAACAAGCTCCCCGAGCTTGGTATGAAGCCTTCTACAGTGCACTGGTTTCGTTGGGCTTCTCTTCTTCTTCCTTGGACACTAGTCTCTTCATCAAGAAAGACTCTTTCATCACCTTCATCTTAGTGTATGTGGATGATATCATTATCACTGGAAGTTCCCCTGCCCTCTGTCAGTCCATTATTTCCCAGCTTCAATCCTTATTTCCAGTCAAAGACTTAGGTGATATTCATTATTTTCTCGGCATTGAGGTTCACCGATCTGCAAAAGGATTGTTTCTTCATCAGTCCAAATATGCCTTGGACTTACTTAAGAAGACGGATATGCTTGGGGTCAAACCCTGCACCACTCCCGTTAGTTCCATAAAGTTGGATCACTCTGGTTCTCCTCTCACAGATCCTACTTCTTATCGCTCCACCGTTGGTGCCCTTCAATATCTTACTTGGACACGACCGGATTTGGCTTTTGCAGTCAACCAGGTTTGTCAGTACATGCATACTCCCCGGACTATTCATTTGCAGGCTGTCAAACGGATTCTCCGGTACTTGAAGGGTACCCTTGACTCTGGGTTGTGGTTTACCAAAGGTCGGCAAATTCTTACAGCATGGACTGATGCTGATTGGGCAGGTTGCCCTGTGGACAGACGTTCTACTAGTGGATACTGTGTGTTTCTTGGACCCAATCTCATCTCCTTGAGTGCCAAGAAACAATGTACAGTAGCTCGTTCTTCTACTGAAGCTGAGTATCGCTCTCTTGCTCATACTGCTGCCGAACTCAGTTGGGTTTGTAAAATTCTGGTTGACATTTCCTTTCCTCTTCTGAAAACCCCGAGTGTTTTCTGTGATAACAGGAGTGCCATTGCTCTAGCTTTCAACCCAGTATTTCATGCCCGTACTAAACATGTAGAGATCGATTATCACTACATCCGCGAAAAGGTTCTTCTGGGACATATCAGTGTTCATCATGTGGCTTCCTTACTCCAACTCGCTGATATCTTTACCAAATCCCTCCCTGCTGATCGATTTGCACAGCTTCGGTTCAAGCTTTCAGTTCGCCCTTCTTCCTTCTGCTTGAGGGGGTGTATTAAGGAGAATGAAGGACCACCAGATTGTAATGCACACAATGCACTAGATTAGTACTTAGCTTAGATATTAAGCTAAGTTTGCTATAGTCGGTTATGTATTGCTGACTAGGATATAATTATTGATGTATATATCCTTGTGTAATGAGATATCAGAAAAGTGTAATGAGAATCATTTTTCTTACAACCCAAATCAAGCTTTCTCTCTCTCTCTCTCATCAACTGCACAGATTCATAACTTCATCATATATGGTTGCTTGCTTGCATTCTAGAACTGTGAGAGTGACTGAAACAAACTGACTTAACCTCGTATCGTATTTATTCCTACATACCCAGAGCACTATGGGAATTAGCAGAGGGACCATCCGTTAAAAGGTGACTCCACAGAAGTTATCTGTAGGGTGACTATCTGCTGAGTTACATAATTTGAAATGATTCCAAGTAGATCTGTCATTCGTGTCGTGTTTTTCAAATTCGTGTCATTTTGTGACATACTCTCTATCTTAATGGGTCATGTGACCCTACCCGAAATCAACCCGTTAATATTATCAAGTAATATGACGCAAGAAATATGGAAAACATAATACTAAATTAGTATATGCATACCACGTTGTCACATAAAAATTATTTCAAAACATAAAAAAAACATTTTTCTTTCAAGTATTACATACCCCAAAATAGGAGCCTAATAAAAAAAACATTAGTACATTATTACAAAATACCAAATTTTCAAGGATATGCAAGATGAAGGAAGTTGTGTTTCAAGGTTGAGAAACCTTGCACGTTTTTTACAATAAAACCCTTCAATTTTCATCAATCACAAGGGAAATGGTATTGAAACTTTATATTGACAATGTTTTCATTAAGGCTTTCCACATTAGCACTCTCTTCCACATAAACTAAACATAAAAAACCAAACATTGTAAACCATTCAAATTTGTTTGGTATTTATAAATTACTTCATATTTTTATTTTAATGTTTTTTATAATTTTTTTGATCTCACCATTTGCCAATAGTATACTATAAAAAATAATAATACTTAAAATTTTAAATTTATATAGAATAATAATACAATAATACATATTAATATACAATATATATACTCACCCATTATGGCTATTGTATTTTATAGTAAGTATTTTTAGTAGTTTAAATAATTAAAGGGAACCCGTTATTTTACCTATAGTACCCTATAACGACCCAATTAATTATTGTATTGATCTGAAACCTATTATTTTCGTGTCGTTTATGTGTCGTGTTAACAGGTCGTGTAAAAAATTATCAGGTCTAACTCCGAGATTCAAGAATTAGAGGGATCATTCATTAAAATCTAGGCATCGGTCGACGGCATAGACTAGCGCCTAGGCGGATTTAATAGAATTTATTATAAAAAATAAAAATATGTGCCTAGTGCCTACTTTACACTCTAAAAAACTTATACTTATATTAAAAATTTGAAAAAGTCAAAACTTAAGCCATCGTGTCATTAGTATCAACACAGACAAATGCAACAAAAATAAAAAATTGATATAAAATTATATCGTCTTTCATAACAGATTAATCAATGATTTAATGAATCAATACATGCAAATGCATGCAAATAGGATCCGGCATCTGAAATTTAACACAAAGTGCACTACGAATTCAACACCAGTATGCTCCACTCATTTTTATATGCTCCATCACCACCACAGCAAAAGAATCCTTCCTCTGAGTACAGCGTTTTCATATTGTAACTCTTAGCTTCATACTACAAACCGAAAGCATGGAAACTTTATTTGAACAAAAAGTAGACCTTTTCGACCGATACAATGAATTCAACATGTTTCTGAGTTGCAATCTCCCCCATCTTTTTATACTTCGAAATTAGGCAAAGCTGTGTTAACAACGTGTGCAAACAGAAATGGGTCAATGTGATGGTCAACGGTGAGGTAACACAAAATAGCAACTTACAAACTAAACACATTTCGCCAGAGACAAATTCCAAATAAGTAGAAAAAGCAAAGAGCAGTGATTTTGACGCTCTCATTTTCTCATTCCAACGCTCATTCTCTCGATTATCTTTGATTCATTCAATTATATAGCTAAAAAAATGGGAAAATAAGAGAAAAGAGAAGTCTGAAAGCACTAATATGGAACTATGTATACAGTTAATCACAAGTTCAAACTTTATACAAAATTGTTCAATTAACATAAGTGAAATTCATACAATCAATCATCGATCACAACCCAAAAAACGAGAATTTTTGTTTACTTGTAATTCTTGCCTGAGGTAGGAAATATGTTGGGCTTTTTCTCTGAGGGGGATTATGGGCTATTATTTTCTCTATTTTGTATTGGGCCTTGGACTTCTGGTCGGTTAAACATTTTTTTTCTAATTTCTTTTTGTCAATATCTACTATAATTTTTATTTTGGCTCCTATTATGTGTGGATGAGTAGCTATTGTGTCTAGTTCAATACTTAACTAGAATATGCCCATATAAAATGTTTGAGAAATTTTTTACTTTGTTTTTAAAATTGGATACAGGAAGAGGGTGAGAGAAAACGTGGGAGTTGGGAAAGAGGAAATGATAATATCACTTGTACATGAGGCTTAAATAAAAAACAACAAAATTTTGTTTTATGAAATTACTTGACTATCCTTAGCTTTTTTGATGTAATAGAAGACAAAAACGTATTTTTACCATCTTTTGATTGACAAAGAGGGTTACATTAATATGCAGTTTAGATTATAGTTAGCTTAGTGTATGATCTAGCAATTTTTTTTTTTTTTTTTGAGATCATTGGATACATTAAAAATATAAAGTGATTTTCACATCTCATTTCTCTCCGTGCACTCATATTTCTTTTAGCTTTTTAATTAAATAAATTAAAGAAAAACTAAGAAACAAAATAAAAAAGAAAATAGTTCATAAGGAGAAAACAAAGAGCAAAATTCGATACCCTCACTAAAATGTCAACATGGATACCTACACACCAAGTTTTCTTCACCTCATATGAAAGGGGCAAAACAACCATTATGTAAACATCTTTAATGGTGCAGGCGAATACAGAAGGCAATATTGTACTATATTGACTTACGTGCTGCTTACTCATTTGTCTCATGAAAAAACTTGGTTACTCCAGTGGACTAGGAAAACCAAATAGGCACTATGTATTATATTATTTTATTTCACCTTTTTGTTTTGTTAACACTTAAAACATGGGAAGTCAACAAAGACCAGTAGAATTCGTTCTAGATGGGACCAGAGAATAAAATTATAAATAACTTAACAACAAGAATTAAATGGTTCACCTCTCAAAATTATGTTACGTCCACTATAGTGCTCTTATATATATTGAAGATAGGCAACAGGAAGCGCTCGGTAATAGTCTAGTCTTTGTTTGCTCTTTTGTGTCCCACTGGTTATAAGAGGTATTCATCCCCCTTATATAGGCACTCAGTGAGCAGCAAAAATCTTGGCTCAAGTGTTCACCGCTTTAGCGTTTAATGATCCAAACATGTAGGCTAATCTTGCTGGCTACTCATTTGTCTTTAGATAACACGTGGTAATGAAGTGATATTTGTTTAGACGTAGTTGCATGATTTTCTGGTCAACACGTACCGAGCACTACGGTACCCCATCTACCAGTTTAGGTATGGTTTATGGTTGAGGTGATTTTATAAAAAAGTTGGGAAAGTTTTTGGTGTTTGGTAAACTTCTAGCTTCAGTTTTTTTTCACAGTTTTAGGTAAAAAAAAAAGCCAAAAAACAGAAGCAGCAAAAGACAGCTTTGAAAAACTGGTTTTTCAGCTTCTGCGCAAACCTCTAAAACACGGGTGAACAGTGACCCTTTAATGAAAGTTTCTGGCAATCCTAATAGTCTACTTCAACACCAGCCAAATATCTTCTTTCCGAGAAACATTTATGCAAGGGAAATACGAGAATCAACCAGAAAAAAAAAATCAAATTGAACCTAACCCCTTTGCCCCCCTCTTTAAGAAAACATTTTCCTGAAAAATGGGTTAGAACCCTACATTTTGAGGTGGAGCTCTCTACGGGTGTGCGCAAAGTAAGTTTCTAAACTATACAATCCCATATTTACCTAAGGCATAATTTAGCTTGCTTGAAAGTGGAAAAAAGTATAAGCAACTAACTGAAAACTTTCTGGGTCAGAAATTTTCTCAGGAAACAAACAGAACCCAAGTGAGGAAACAAACCTCAAAGCGAGTTATGGACTTCATTGAAATCGGAATCGCAGGAGGAGCGGAGGGCCTTGCGATGCTGGAGACAGTGTGCCAAGTTGTTGATGTCCCTTTAGTCCTTCAACACCTTCACCAGATCGTCGTAGTACAAAATCAGCTTCGAAATTTAAGAAGCTTCTCCAATTTCTCGGAGGAAGCTTCTCCCTTCATCTCTATCATCCCTTTTCTGCTCCTCCCAGCTTTATCTCTACCAAAGATCTTTGATGATGAGGGAGAAAGTGGCGAAAAGATTGGAATTTGGTGATGAGAGAAAAAGTGAAGAAAGAGAGAGACAGAGAGGCAGTTGGACGGGAAGGAGAAAAAAAATGGAGATGATTCTAGAGAGAGAGCGTTCTAAATAAGTAAAAGAAAAGAGAAAAGGAAAAAAATGTAATAGATAGATAAACTTGGTTTTGATCATGTCACACCGTCACAACTGTTTTGCATAAAAGTTTATCAAACATTGTTATACTGCTTTTTTTTTCAAAATTACTTTTACTAAAAATTTTACCAAACACTCTGCCGCTTTATTTCACAGCTCCTTATTCTTACAACACAGCAGAAGCAGCTTTTTTTTTTAAGCATAACAATACCAAATCAGCCCTTAGTACTGAGATGCTTTTATAAAAAAATAGGTATAAAAAAAAAAACTGAGCTCAAAAAAATATTTGGTAAATACTTAAAAATATCTTATTTTCACTGTTTTGGGTAAAAAAGGAAGAAAACGTGAAGCAGAAAAAAAAGCTTATTCTCACAACATAACAGAAGTAGTTTTTTTTAAAGAACAGCAACATCAAACCAACCCTTAGTCTAACAGCCCATATGTCCCTTCAAATATTTTTGCCTTTGCTGATGATCAACATATGTTTTAGACAGTAACTAAAACTTAATCACAGAACATGTGAAAAAAAAAAAACATAAACTGAGCACTGAATAGTCCCGTCAATCAAAAGTGACTAAATTCAAATACATGCATGCATTGCATATAAATTTATATGCCGTTTTTTCATTTGCCTGTCCCACATTTTTATTTTTCATCGGTAAAAAGCATGCAACTTATTTTTCACATAAACTGGCCTACATGCGCTACAAAGAAAAACTCAATAAAATGTCACATAAACTGGTCTACACGTCCTAGCAATTAGGAGATGCCGACAAAAAGCATGAATTTGATCAAAATCAACTGAGCCAAGAAAACACGATAAACACGATATCAAACTCACATGCATATGGAAATGGCGTTTCTTATCGCCTGGCCTGTCAAGCTCTACATTTGATTTTGGTGCACTGTTTCTGATTCAAGGAGTTCTCCGATTTCATTCTTAGCTTACTTTCGTCTGATGTGATTGACTTTGTCGGCTTTACTGCTAACCTTTGATGTAACCCTTTTTCTTCTAACTATAGAATCTATTATCGTTGCATTTATAATAGAATAAAAAAAGCTTGTTGCATGTTGCCTCCTTGCTCCTCGATGCATAATAATACACCTCTTCGACGCCCTGGTGCCTACAAGTCAAGCATATCGAATTACGATTTTATTCAGTCCTTGAAGATTGATCATAATACCCTACAGGTGATTGATCGTTTGGGATTACGATTTTAATTACGACAACTTTTTCTTCCCTCTCTCTCTTATGTGTCCATTTGCACTTTTTGCTTAGTATTTAAAAGACCAAAAAAGTTCATTCCATTAGAACGTGTCATACATCAGAAACCTCATGACGTTAAATTTTATTTTATGTTGAATGAGTAAACAATAATTGAATTGAGGCCTTTTGTTGATACATATTGATTTGTACATGCATAATTAAATTGAAAATAGTATCACAGTAATTAAATTGAATTGAGGCCTTTTGTTGATACATATTTATCAAGACGTATTACTTAATTATTTTTGTAGAATAAAGTATACAATAATGGGTGGAAGTTCCTTGAGGAGAAAGTTAAGTATATGATTTTTTTGCGATGATGATGATATCAACACGCTAACTACGTTCGAGTTCATTGATGACACCCAACGGTTAGATGTGAGATATCATTTTGAGGACATAACAAGATCCCTATATAATGCTAATTAGGACTTATTTTGGGGTTTAATTTCTTGATATCATTCTTCTCACCAAGGAGGAAAATATATAATGTACAAGAGTGATTTACAAGGAAAGAAACATCAAATAACCTAATTACAATCTGATTACAAGGACTCAAATAGGTAACTAAACTAATTACAAAAAGTCAACTCTCCAACACTCCCCCTCAAGTTGGTGCATAAATGTCGTTCATGCCCAACTTGATAAGAGAGTTGTAGAACGCTTAACTTGCAACATCTTTAGTTAAGATATCCGCCAATTGATCCTCTGACTTAACGAACGGGAATTGAATAATATTCCCATCCAACTTCTCCTTAATGAAGTGTATGTCAACTTCCACGTGTTTTGTTCGATCATGTTGAATTGGGTTGTGTGAGATATCGATAGCTGCTTTATTATCACAAAATAAATCCGAGGCAGAATTCGAAGTATACCCGAGTTCACCAAGTAACCTCCGAAGCCATAATAGTTCACATACTCCTTTTGCCATACCTCTGTATTCCGCATCTGCACTTGATAAAGCAACTACTTTCTGTTTCTTACTCTACCAAGTCATTAAGCTTCCTCCCACAAATGTAAAGTAACCAGATATGGACCAACGATCAGTAATGTTGCCTGCCCAATCTGCATCGGTGTAACCCTCTATTCGACAATGATCATTCTTGGAAAACATGATGCCTCTACCCGGTGAGGACTTCAAGTATCGTATGATGCGTTCAACTGCACCCATATGTGCCTCACTCAGAAAATGCATAAATTGACTAACAACACTTATTGCGTATGCAATATCAAGCCTAGTGTGAGATAAATAAATTAACCTCCCAACTAACCTTTGATAACGATCTCTGTTAGTGGGAACTTGATCAGGGTGCATGGCAAAATGGTGATTTTGGACTATAGGGATGTCAGCTGGTTTACAATCAAGCATTCCGGTTTCAGCTAATAAGTCTACAACATATTTTCTTTGAAACAGAAATATACCCTGTTTAGATCGAGCTACTTCTATCCCCAAGAAATCTTTCTAACCACCAAGATCTTTCATCTCGAACTCAGTTGCTAGGTAATCTTTGAGCCTTGAGATTTCCTCTTTGTCGTCACCCGTAACAATCATATCGTCCACATAGATGATAAGTGCCGTCAATTTCCCCATTCGACGTTTCAAGAAAAGTGTATGATCGGAATTGCTCTGCCTGAATCCATATTTCCTCATAGCCATCCAGAACCTACAAAACCATGCTTGAGGTGATTGTTTCAACTCATACAATACTTTATTCAACTTGCACACTACTCCAGGTTGTAAAATCGATGCATAACCAGGTGGAATATCCATATACACTTCTTCTTTAAGATTACCATGTAAGAAAACATTTTTCACATCAAATTGCTGTAACGACCAATCTAAGTTGGCCGCCAATGAAAGCAATACTCTTACAGTATTAATCTTTGCTACCATGGCAAATGTCTCTGTATAATCAACACCATACGTCTGAGTGTGTCCCTTAGCCACCAATCGTGCTTTGTATCGTTCAACAGACCCATCAGCTTTGTACTTGATGGTGTACACCCACCGACACCCAACTCTCTTTTTTCCTCGGGGAAGTGGAACTAAATCCCACGTTTGATTTTTCTGGAATGCAGCCATTTCTTCCTCCATTGCCTTGGTTCATCGATCGTCAAATAATGCCTCATTCAATGAACTTGGTGTGTTATCATTGGATATTTGTTGTACAAAAGCTTTGCCGGGTTCTGATAACTTCTGTGATGACACATAGTTGGCAATGGGGTATTTAGAGCATTTCGTTGTGTCCGATGAATATTGATTGGGTGGCTTTCTCTGGTTGTGCCTGAAAGGTAATTGATAATTCGGAACAATGGTATCATCAACAGGGATAGTAGAGCTTACCTCAGGAATATTCTCAGGGGTATGGTCATCTGGTGGTACTATATTTGGAGACGAGGAGGAGTAGTATCAGTAGAATTCTCAAAGTTGACAAGTGGCAGCATTGGTGCTATGGGTGAGGACGACATTGCCGTGCCTGCCGTTGATTCTGTGAGCAGCACTACGGCTGTTGTTGGCTGGGCTAGCAGCGCAGTCGCTATAAGCTTGGCTAGTGGCAGCGGAAGATCAACAGTATCACTCATGGTCTAATCCTTCTTGTTATGTCGTGTCTCCCCCTGAGGAGAAGGATTGGCAGAATCCGAAGGGTAATACATCTTAGACTCGAAGAAAGTGACATCCATAGTAACATACATTAGACGGGAAGGAGGGTGGTAACAACGATACCCTTTCTAATGGAGTCCGTACCCCATAAAAATATAACGGAGATCACACGGTTTAAGTTTCGTCCGTTGTGATTAGTTAAATAATGGGAAAAATCATTATTAACATATTCATCACCATTATCAGAACGCAAAATCCATATTTTAGTAGAAAACTGTGTTTGAACCACTGCCTGGAAGGTCTTAAAAGCCGAAAAAAACATCATTTTTATGCTTAAAAAGATATAACCATGTCATCCGTGTGCAATCATCTATGAACGTTACAAACCATTGAATACCAGATGAAGTAGTAATCGGAGATGGTCCCCAAACATCTGAATGAACAAGACCAAAAAGAATAAAACTTTTATTAGAATTCAGCGGATAAGTAACACGGTGACTCTTTGCGAGTATGCAAGTCTCATATTTAAAGTCTGAAACTGAACAACCAACAAATAAATCCGGAAACATATGTTGCAAATAACTAAAAGATGGATGACCCAAACGGTGATGCCATAACCATATCTGATGCTTCTTGTGATCAACGGCTCCATGGGTGAGATTGACCCGTCCTATACTGACATCATCCATAAAATAGAGATCCCCCTTCTTAGTACCATGACCAATTATCTCCTTCGTAAGAATATCCTGTATAAGATAAAACTTTGGATACATTCACACAACAGTTCAATTGTTCAGTAACTTGGCCAGGAGACATCAATTTATGCTTTAGTGAAGGTACAAGTAATGTATGAGGCAAAGAGAGAGTAGGCGTGAGGCGCACGGTGCCAGCGCCAGTTACTGGTGAGGTGACTCCATTAGCATTTGTAATATTACATCAAAGTGGAACAGTATCACAAGCTAAATCAGTGGGATCATAAATCATATGGTCTGTGGAACCGGAGTCAATGATCTATCCGGATGAAGTAGCATCACTATTCATATTAAAAACATAACCACAGTTACCTGATGACTCCGGAGACATGTCGGAAGAACTCGAAACCGAATGAGGAT